GCGTGACGGTGCGGTCTGTGTTCGTTGTGCCTGCTGGCGCGAGCGAGGTGACGCTGCGCCACGTTGTGCTGGACGGCGTGAGCCCGGTGCTCTACGTGCCGTGGATGGCGCGGGACGGCGTGCGGATCGTTGTGCAGAACGTGTCGCTGCTGAACGGTGCCGTGCTGTACGTGATGGGCGGTGGAGCGTTGCGCGGTGCGGTGGCGATGGGGAGCGACGAGAGCGGGCCGGTGGAGCTGTCGGTGTGCGACGTGGAGGCGCTGAACGGTGCGCTTGTGCTGAGCGGCACGTTTCCCGCGGGGTCTGTGCTGACGGTGACGGACTCCCTGCTGGTTGCCGCGAGGTCGACGCCGCTTGTGTATCTTCCCGGCTCGCAGTCCTCGCCGTACGCACCGGTGCTGGTGCTGTCGGGCCTGCGGCTCGTGCGGTCCGTGCTGATTGTGTCCGGCGTGGCCCTTGTGACCGTTATGACTGGTGGGCGGACGGTGGTGGTGGACGGCGCCGTGCTGGAGCTTGTCGGTGGCGGTGTCGCGCTGGACGCGGCTGTGCTCGGCGGCGAATATGCGTTGTACGCGAGTGCGCGCGTGGTTGCGTCGTGGGGCGCTGTGCTGCGCGTGTCGGGGAGCCAGGTGTACGCCGCGCATGGGTTGGTGTTCGAGAGCGGTGTGGAGGCCAACGCGTCCGCCGTCGTAGTGAACGACAACACCGGTGCGCTGACCGATGGCGCGCTGCTGGTGCTGCGGGGGTCGGCGTCGTTTGCGTCCGGGTCGTGGCTGTCGGTGCGCGGCAACAGCATCAGCGGCAGGCTTCTGTCGGTGCCGTCGTACCCGCGCAGTGCGGATCTTGTGCAGAGCACGCTGACGCTCCACGGGAACGCTGGCAGCGGGCCCGTCGTGATGGACGGCACCGTAGCTCTTGGGGGCGCCGGCCGAAAGTTCGTCGTGGGGTGCCTGACGCTCAACGGGCAGGCGCTGCAGCCGATGGACTACAGGTCCGCCGGCATCATCGGGGAATTCCGCCCCGTGGCGTGTGGCGTGTGCGACGCCGACGTGCGCTGCTTTGCTGCTGCGACGAGGACGATGTCGGGGTCGTGCGGCTGCCGCTGTGCTGAGGGCGGGTACGGGCGCGACTGCCTGCCGGTGTACCTGCCGCACGTGGACGGGTGCAACCGCACGTCTGGCATGCCGCTGTTGAGCCACACGGAGACGCTGACGGAGACGCGCAGCCTGACTTCAACATGCACGCCGAGCCTGAGCACGGCGCACTACAGTCCGCTGCGGTACGGGCCGACGGAGACACTGCAGGTGACGGAGACGGTGGCGTTGCCGCCCACGCGGACCCCGACGGCGTCGGCGAGCAGCACGCTGTGGTGGAGCGAGGTGGCGTGCCCGACGCTTGCCGTGACGACGACGGCGGCTGGTGGGAGCCTGACGCAGAACGACATCCGCGGCGGTGGGAGCACCGTCCCGACGCGGCTCATGGTGGCGCTGCCGCCGCCGTTTCGATGGGCACGCGACCCGCGGCTTGGCACGCACCTGAGCTTCGTGCCGGTGTCGACGGCGCAGCCGTGCGGGTTTGGCGGTCCGTGGGGAGCGATGCTGAGCAACGCGACGTGGGTACGCAACGCGACGAATCCGTCCACCGTCCTGGAGCTGGCTGTGCCCGTTCACCGCGGTTACTTCATTGCTGCCGACGAGACGATAGTCATTCGCTGCGACGCTGCGGCGGTGTCTGGCGGCTGCAGGGGTGTGCTGCTTGGGTCCTTCACGATCAGGTCTGACACGCTGCCCGCCGCTGCCAGCGCCCTCTCGGCGATCACCGGCGTTGTTGCGGGTGCGGCGGCTGTTGCGGTGGTGGTGACCGGCGGGCTGGGCTCCATCCTGGAGATGCAGGCGCTCGGCGTGTTCGCGAGGATGTCATGCGCCTCGGCGCAGGAGCGTGCGAGCACCGTTGCGCTGCCGTACTTCCTGTCGGTGTTCGCTGCCCTTGACCCGCTGTGGATGGTGGTGGGCAACGCGCTGCTCGCCGCTGTGTTTGGGTGCGTGCACTGCGGTGTGACGGCGGCCTTCCAGCGGTGGCGCGGCGTGGACGCGGCGAGTGCGTGGGCGGCGATGCGCTTCCCGAGCCTGACGTACGTTGTGGCGCACGCGATGCACCTCGGCATTTTCTTTGGCTCGGTGCTTGAACTGGCGATGCCCGGCGCCCGCGGGCATCACCGCGTGATCGGTGTCGTCGGCGTGCTGTACGGTGTGGCGTTCCCTGCTGGCGTGTGCTACTTGATTGCCCGCTACACGGGCGCGAGCTTCACGAGGTACTGGCAGTTTTCGAGGAAGCCGCTGCACGAGCGCCTGCTGTACCCCGTCGGGTATTGGCACCCCGCGGCGCAGCAGCGGATGTACGGCGGCATGCTGACGAACGTGAGGGGCAGCCGCGTGTACTGGTGCGTGTTCCAGCTGTCGGTGCTGTGCGTGGTGTGCCTGATTGCGGCTGTGCAGTCGCCCGTGGGAGGCTGCCACGTCCAGTACTTCTGCATGGCGGCTGTGCTGCTTGCGGGTGCGGGCGTGGTTGCCTTCACGAACATGATGCGCTCGTCCTTTCTGACGGTGATGCACGCGGCGAGCTTTGTGCTCCTTGCGGCGCTGTGCGTGGTCAGTGCGGCCAACCACCTTGCGCCGAGCGACGGCGGTGCGAAGGCGTACGCGGCGATCGTGCTGCTGCTGACCACCGCGGTGCTTGCGGTCACTGTGTACGGCATGGTTGTGTGGTACGCGGAGGACCGCCACTGGCAGGAGCTGCGTGAGCCGCGGCGTGGCGGACTGGAGGCGCTGCTGCGCAATGGCGAGGAGAGCGACGAAGAGACGCAGAAGCTCCACGAAGTAACTACATTTTCGTACGCCTCAGGCACCACCGTTTCGTCGTCGTACCGACCACCCGCACCGCCGTAGCAGCCCATGGCCGGTGATGCCCGCTCAGAAGCCCTGGGCCTGCTCGAGTGTGCATCCAGTGCGAGAGGCAAAATTGGTTGTGCTACGCCGGAGAAGTAATGAATTTGTGCTGCTCAAGAAGGTGGGCGCAGTTTTACCTCGAGTTGGAAAGTGTCTGCCCAAACAGTACCTCCACGTGGCGAGAGTGTACGAGGCTCCTCATGGATGCGGTATAACGTAGGTGCTTTTGGCAATGTGTTTACTTCTTTATTATTATTATTTATCGGATGCTTGGTTGATTGAGTCGTTGCTTTCGTTATTTTATTTTTATCGATTTTGTCAGGAACGGATTATCGAGGTATCGCGCTAGCCCAGGGCGGCTGTGTCACGGGTGTGTGCTGCACGCTTGCCGCTGCAGCGCCCTCTCCGGATTTCGGGGTTATTATTTAGATTTTTACTCATTAACGAGGACGTGTTCTGCGATGGTGGCTGTTGTGCGGAGCATTGAATTTATTTGAGGAAAAATTAGGGACAAAAAACGATAACGCCCTTCTGTGGCTTTCAATAAATGAAATTTGGACGTGTGCGTT